ATATGGTTTAGGGGTGGGGATCTCGACCGTTGTCAAGTTTTCAAACAGGAGGGGGTGGGTGACCCCAGTGACTTCCCCCATATTTCATTTGATTTGTTATATTGCCAAATACATGAGTATATATGGTTCATGGGTGGGGATCTCATCTGTTACCAAGTTATCAAACAGGAGGGGGTAGGGTGAACCTTAGGACTCTCCCTCTATTTCATTTGATAAGTTCTGCTGTCCCATACATGAATATAAATGGTTTAATTTAGAGGTCGGGATCTCGACTGTTTCCAAGTTCTCAAACAGGAGGGGTGGGGTGACTGCAGGGACTCCCCTATATTTCATTTGATTTGTTATATAGTCCCATACATGAGTATATATGGTTTCGGGGTGAGGATCTCGACCGTTTCCAAGTTCTCAAACAGGATGGTTTACAGTGACCATAGGAGCTGCCCCTATATTTCATTTGATTTGTTATTTTGTCCCATACATGAATATATATGGTTTAGGGTGGGGATCTCGACCGTTTTCAAATTCTCAAACAGGAAGGGGTAGAGTGGCCGCAAGCACTCAACCTATATTTCATATGATTTGTTATGTTGTCCCATACATGAATATATATGGTTAAGGGGTGGGGATCTCCACCGTTTCCAAGTTCTCAAACAGGAGGGGTGGGGTGACCCCCAAGGACTCCCCCTATATTTCATTTCATTTGTTATATTGTCACATACATGAATATGTATGGTTTATGGGATCATTATTTTTTTGTATGCTCCAATGAACAAATTATGTCTTTAAGAGAAAGGTATATACCTACATATTACACACAAAATCCTTCCCAATTGAAACTTACTGGTCTATTATCACACTGTAACGTGCCACTGCTAACAAAAGTGTGCATGTTTCTAAGACATATTGAAAAAATATTTTCCTAATACAAAGCATGTTACAATAACTTCATATCCACGTTGCAATTAAGAATTTTGCAAACAAATCAACCAAATATGGTTTATTTCAATTTTATTGTATGATATCACTTATTTATTTATTGTGTGTCTTGCTTGTAAATGTATAAGTATATATGTAATTGTTAATGTATAATTGTTATCCTCTTGTAGCACCATAGGTGTGCTTAAGTTTAAATAAATTGTCTTGTCTTGTCTTGGGATCTTGACCGTTTCCAAATTCTCAAACAGGAGGGGTGGGGTGACCGCAGGGACTCCCTCTATATTTCATTTGATTTATTATATTGTCCCATACATGAATATATTTGGTTTAGGGGTGGGGATCTCGACCATTTCAAAGTTCCCAAACAGGAGGGTTGGGGTGACCCCAGGGACTCCCCTGTATTTCATTTGATTAGTTATATTGTCCCATATAGAATATATATGGTTTAGGGGTGGGGATCTCGACTGTTTCCAAGTTCTCAAACAGGAGGGGTGGGGTAACCCTAGGGACTTCCCCCTATATTTCATTTGATTAGTTATATAGTCCCATACATGAATATATATGGTTTAGGGGTGGGGATCTCATCCGTTTCAAAGTTATCAAACAGGAGGGGGTAGAGTGACCCAAAGGATTCCACCTATATATCATATGATTTGCTTACATTCAAGTATCATATGATAAAGTTGCACTGTTTGCGAAAACAAAGTAAGAAACTTCCAGCTATTTTAACTGACCCTTCAAAATTGAGAAAAAAATTGCAGTAATAATATGTTTACACTTTAAAAGCATCTTACATGCATTATCAACATTTATCACTGATAAAGAAGATTTATACTGTCACCAGGAACATATATATTGTTAGATATACTGTTCCCAGCTGTCACATTGTATTGGATTTTGACATTAAAATTTGTCAAAAAGTAATTTTGAGTTTCTGTATCAAATATTTTTTGCTTTTTCTTTCTTTTACATATATCTTTTGGTTTCCATTTCTAGTGTTTATATTTATTTACCATGCATAGATGTATTTTGTCACCTGCCTGAAATTTTTTTTTTTGTAGTTGATCTCCAAAACCCGGAATTACCCTTATCCGCTTCCGGAATCGGACCCGATATTGTAATTGTCTACACGGCATCCATTGTTTTTCTATGTTGTTTTTGTCAGTCAGATACGATTTTACTCGAATTTACACATTACTTGTCGGCGATTATCTGTATAAAGCTAGCGGTTGAACAAAATGAACATCGCTGTCATGAATAATAAAGATGAAAATAAGTTTTGAGATCGTTTATTTAGAGACTTTGGTAAAAAGGTTTGCAAAGTTATTTTTAATTTTCTTTCAAGTGAAAGGTCCGTCGGGCGTAGCTAGAAACCAAGTCGAGAGTCCGATTGCAAAAGTGGAAGGTCGCGGACCTCGGACCACCGCTAATTTGAACCCCTGCCTCCAAATTGAAAAGATACGAAAATTTCGTCTTCTAAATTGAAATTGCCGCCAACAGCATGAACAGTTGAACTTATTAATAGACTACTGACGTAGTTGTACCACGTATTGACGACAAACAATATTCCTACGACTTTTGCCATTTGGGAAATCTAAACTACTTGTCTTTAAAGATTTTCGGCGATTAAATATTTCATACAATTGTTCTTTGACATCTTAGCCAAAAGCACAGGGGATAATAAACTACATAAGGATTCCTAATGGGCTCTACTTCCTATGTGCAACTTCAAAACTTTTGGGTGGTTCGACGGTCATTTAAGGTTTTTTCTGGTCATATTTTTGTAATCCAGAATTAAAAGTATGAAAAAACTATTCAATTAGTTATAAATAACATTATATCCAGCTAGATAATAACAATGGCACGTATTTCAGCATTTATTGGGTAGAACACAAATCTAGGGTGCTCGCATAAGGCAGCTTAACTGCCTAAAAATGCCTACCTATTGGCAATGATGGCCCCAACCATTATCTAAACATCAACCTACCGGTAAACTACTTTTTCTTGTACCCTTAAAAAAGATAAAATAAAACTATTTATCCCACATTAACCCCTTTATTGCAGCAAGTATCCCAAGTTTCATTGAAGTGTGTAGAATCAAATTATGCATTCCCAAGTTTTAATAGAATTCAAATTCACCTCTTGACACACTAGGGGAGGCATTGGAAGAAAAAATATGATCCTCTTTATTGTTTAAGTCAATAAGATAATTTTCACACCATAAATAAGGATATTCAAATATAAATGGATTGAAGAGGGCAATCCAGTGTACATGATTGTAAATAAATTCTAGACAATCAAACTGCACTGATCGTCATTCAATACTGTATGTAGCTATCATTGAAGTGACTAAAAAAATTAGCCATTATTCATAGAAGATAAAAAAATCAACAGTAAAAAAAAAATAATAAAGAAGAATAAATCAGAATAAATCAGACGTCTCACTCCAGGTCTATGACAATCGAAATATTTAAAGAGATTTTTTTATATTCATTTTAAAGTTATTGGAAAGTAAGTGGCTTTGTTAAAGGGGTAGAGGAGGGTAAAACAATACAAGGCAAAAATATATAAAACAGATAATTTTTTTTGAATGCTGGTATGTATTAATAATTTAATTGAGTAATTTAGGTTTTTTCACAAGTGTATAAAGTATATGGAGATATTGACAACATTTGTAATTCAATTTTATATTGTCATTAAGATTGTTATGAAAAGTGAAACTAACACTTTATGAATTTATTGCGTCTGAAGTGCTTTATAGGAGTAAAATAAATTTGTTAATGACTTAGATGTATTGAAACTAAATTTCAAGGTGACATCAACCAACCAATGCATTTCAATACCTAATATCACGGCTATAAGTAAAATAATAATAGAAAAATTAAACTCTCATCTAAATTTAACCAAACAGAGGCAACAAAAATGCAGTTCATGGAGACCTAATTTTGTAAAGAAGACAGAGTTTCTGTATAAGGAGATCTCTACAACTGGTCATATGATTGTAGGCCTATTTTTATCTAAAAATTGTAACTCTGAAATTTGTTTTGCCAGTGAAGCATAAAATTCCGGACAACATTTGTTAGGAGCTTGTATACTCCTCTGAATGAACCCTTTCACAAAGTTATGTAATTGTTGGTCATTTAGTTTCTGAGAACTAAATTTAAATGTAAAGTTAAGATGACAAAATGAGACCCTCAGGGTTGTGTAATTCTTATATAGTAGGAAAATTAATATAAATCATTGAAGCATGAAGAGAAGATCACTGTGATCTACTTTTGGTGGAAGGTTTTTATACTTCCTAATTGGTCCCTTCATAATGTTATAAGACTGCATGATGAAATCTGAGATAAAACTTAATGTAAGTCATTGAAGATAAAAATGTAGGTCACAGTGACACACTCTTTGTGAGATGCTACTTTACCCCACGTTATCAAATCCCACTGAACTGTGAAGTATAAGTCAACTAATCTTCATCAAATGACACATGATCACTTCTGTGAAGATGTTACTACAAGACATAATTATATGGCTGTATGAGTTTAATCCCTTAGAACTGACATGACTTCCAGGGTAATCTCTCTAAACTTTACAAAGGGGCACTGACTATGATTTGTGTACAAGAATCAAGTATTAGTCAGCCTTAGACTCCTAGAAACACAAGAGCTTTTAATACTAATTATATATAGCACAACCCTTATTCCTAAAACTGGATGCATTTTCCTGTTATATATTTCTAGTGGTGCCAAGAAGATATAACCCCATTTTGTAGATATAGCAATGTCAATATTTTGTGAAGTGAAATCCTAAAAATAATTTGGATGATAAAATTTAGTAGGTGCCATGTCATTAGGTTCTAAAAGTTATCTGTAATTTTCACTAAAATCAAGTTCTTGGTTTTAGGGCAGTTTTGGATATAAAGTACAAACAGACAAACAATTAAATGCACAGACAAATAGACAAAACTATCAATACATCATACTATATCAGTAAGCCATTACACCAGAAAAAAAGCGCAATACCTTTCGATTATTAATGGGCTATCATAACAATAACACGAAACTACATAAATTATAAAGATTTATTCTCTGTGACTTTTAGGCATCTTCTCTTGAAAGGTCAATATATAGAACTTTATCCAACAGTACATAATTCCTATTGCACAATATACTGATGTTAACATCAATGGTATAAATGGTAATCGTTGATCTAATCCTAAACCTGGATGTATTAAACTGTTATATATTTCTAGTGGTACTATACCAAGAAGATATAATGTTTCTATTGTTGAACACAGTGGTAACTGGGTTAATGTCCAGGGTATTCTGAAATTAAAACAAAGATAAAATTGTAAATGCAAAGTATAATTTTATTTGGTGACTACAAGCCTATATTCACAATGGAAACATATTTTTGGGATGATAGGAGAATGCTTTGTTTTAAATTACGAACATTCATTTATCTAATTTTGTGATACTAGCTAGAAGTAACTATTTTTATGAATAGAAAGAAGGTACATTGTATTAGTCTAATACTCTTGACAATGTAAAAAAATGTAACCTAAAATAATCTCTACGAATTCAGAGTGTTCATTTAATTCTCAAAAGAACCCAATTCTGTCTGGAGACATTCTTTGATTCTTTTTGGAATTGTATAAAGGATAAATAAATTATCCTGTCTTATGCAATATGAATGAAATCAGGAAATGTAAATGAATTTAATTCATAATAGAAAATTGAAATTTAGAAGGAGTGCATCACTTACATGTCATAGTTTGAAAAATTTTCCAACAAATGCATAAACAGCACCTTTTTCAAAATATTTTTCATTTAAACCTTATTCAAGCCAGCAGTTGGATAAAGCAATTATAAGAAAACAAGTTGTTTGTGTATAACAGAAATTTTGCAACAAACTTCAGCTATGCAGTAGGCCATGTTTAAACAGTGTCAATACTTTCTCACACCTCAACCAGGCTATTTCATTTCAATCAAGCTATTTCACCTCAATCAGGCTTTTTCACCTCAATAAAGCTATTTCACCTCAATCAGGCTATTTCACCTCAATAAAGCTATTTCACCTCAATCAAGCTATTTCACCTCAATCAGGCTACTTCACCTCAATCAAGCTATTTCATCTCAATCAAGCTATTTCATCTCAATCAAGCTATTTCACCTCAATCAAGCAATTTTACCTCAATCAAGCTATTTCACTTGAGCAATATTGATTCCCAACAACTACCAATTGTTAAGGTAGTTCTTTATAAAATATGAATGGGAACTTGTCAAAAGGAAGAAAACATATCAATACTCATCAAGCCTTGACTTACCTATAGACATTTCCCAGACTATAGAATGAATAAACTGTATACAGCAACACCATACAGATCTTTATCACAGTTTCTGCAATAAAATCAAAGCACTGTAAGCGCTGTAGGCAGTTAACCAAAAACCAAGGCAAACGTAATTATGAAAACTGTGGCAATGTTGCTTCAATTTTTTTTTAAGATTTGAAAGAACAAACATTAAACATTCGTATATTGTACATTTATGTTCATTAAATGAATTGATTATTAAGGCTAATTAATTAATATTTCATCAAGGTTTTCAAAAGCAACTCATGATCATATATCAATGTAAATGACCCCCATCTTCACCCCCAAGTGCATGATGTTACTCCATACCAAGTTTGGAATAAAATGACAGGTGATTATAAAACAGTTGGTCAAACATTCTCGGGCTTTACACTGCTTGAAAGATTTATATGTTTTCTTTAAAATGAGCCATAAATGAAAATGATTATAGGCCAAGAAATAATTTAATAAACAATTAAAGTAAATTCAATAATCTAGACTCATTTTTTGGATCAAAATTTTTTTTATAATAAACAAGAAATAATTGTAACAGGATGCCGTTACGAAGTCTCCCAAACAAAGCCCCCATAATTCGTCATTCCCATGGTCTCCTGACATTGGGCAAAGTCCAGTTCATATTGGTTTGGTCTAGTAAAGTGATATGCATATGTGACACCAAGGAGATTGACCCTGTATGTCATTCAAATCTTTTTGAAATGATGAACAGGAATAAATACGGTTTAGGTGTGGGTATCTCGACCGTTTACAAGTTTTCAAACAGGAGGGGGTGCGGTGACCCCAGGGACTCCCCCTATATTTCATTTGATTTGTTATATTGTCCCATACATGAATACATATGGTTTAGGGGTGGGGATCTCGACCATTTCCAAGTTCTCAAACAGGAGGGGGTGGGGTGACCCCCAGGGACTCCCCCTATATTTCATTTGATTTGTTATATTGTTCCATACATGAATACATATGGTTTAGGGGTCGGGATCTCGACCATTTCCAAGTTCTCAAACAGGAGGGGGTGGGGTGACCCCAGGGACTCCCCAAATATTTCATTTGATTTGTTATATTGTCCCATACATGAATATATATGGTTTAGCATGTTTGAGGGTGGGGATCTTGACTGTTTACAAATTCTCAAACAAGAGGGGTGGGGTGTCCCCACGGACTCCCCCTATATTTCATTTGATTTGTTTTATTGTCCCATACATGAATATATATGGTTTAGGGGTGGGGATCTCGACCATTTCCAAGTTCTCAAACAGGAGGGGGTGGGGTGACCCGAGGAACTCCCCATATATTTCATTTGATTTGTTATATTGTTCCATACATGAATATATATGGTTTAGGGGTGGGGATCTTGACTGTTTACAAGTTCTCAAACAGGAGGGGCGGGGGTGTCCCCAGGGACTCCTATATTTCATTTGATTTGTTTTATTGTTCCATACATGAATGGATATGGTTTAGGGTTAGGGATCTCAACCATTTCCAAGTTCTCAAACAGGAGGGGTTGGGTGACCCCAGGGACTCGCCATATATTTCATTTGATTTGTTATATTGTCCCATACATGAATATATATGGTTTAGGGGTGGGGATCTCGACCGTTTACAAGTTCTCAAAAAAGGAGGGGGTGGGGTGACCCCAGGGACTCACTATATTTCATTTTGGATTTGTTTTATTGTCCCATACATGAATATATATGGTTATGGGGTGGGGATCTTGACCATTTCCAAGTTCTCAAACAGGAGGGGCTGGGTAGACACTGGGGACTCCCCCAAATTATTTTCATTTGATTTCTTTTATTGTCCCATTCAAGTATATATATTGTTTAGGGGTGGGGATCGCGACGGTTTACAAGATAAAAGTACATTTTCAAATTGAAGGGGGTTGGAATGACCCCCAGGGACTCACCCTACATTTTGGTTTATTTTTTGTATTGTCCTGTTCTCATTAATGAAGACTGCATGTGTCTATCACCTACTGTTTTCGAGAAATAGTCATTTGAAAATTTAAAAAAATAAAATCCCATAGGGTTCTATAGTAAACCCCTCCCTTCTTCAGGCCCCTCCAAATACCCTTAAATAGACCCCAATGCACAAACAAAAGATTAATGGCTCTGCTAGACATGTTAGTCTAATATTTTATGAAACCCTAAATAAATATGACAAACGGTCAAAGTTGTCTTCTTAGACGGGTTGAATGGATTCGGTCCGACTTGTCTCGGGGACGAGTTGTCCACATTACTTAAAACATCCCATCAACGTCGATTTCCGCATCTGTTTTCATGACCTCGTTTCATTCATAAAATAACAACAACCTTATTTGGCAAGATAAGTTAGAAATTACCACCCACTTATATAACTTTATTTCCTCTATCATAGAGATTTGTTGTACATGAACAATATTCCTGCGCATTTTGCCATTTGGGAAATATAAACGACTTGTAATTACCGATTTTCGGCGATGAACTATTTCATACAATTGTTCTTTGACATCGTAGCCAAAAGCACAGGGGATAATAAACTACGTACAGATTTCTATTGAGCACTACTTCCTATGTGCAACTTCAAAGGTTTTGGGTAGTTCGACGATCATTTAAAGTTTTTCTGGTCATATTTTTTGTATTCCAGAAATAAAAGTATTAAAAAAATGTCCAATTAGTTATAAATAACATAATAGTCAGCTAGATAGTAACAATGGCACGAATTTCAGCATTTATTGGGTAGAACACAAATCAAGGGTGCTCGCATAAGGCAGCTAAACTGCCTAAAAAATTGCATCAATCAAACTCTTTTTTTTTGTCATTTAGAGAATTTTGTATTGATTGCAAAAGTTATCCACAACTTTTCTGGTCTTTGAGCAATTTAGAGATGAACAAATTGTATAGACACTTGTGTATTGCTGAAGACAATACATTGATCTCTAAATGCCATCTTTTTTTGTAGCTGGGATTGATTCATTGGGATCTAGCACACATCTCCTTATTAATCAGATTCTTCAGTATAACATATTCTGGATTCATTCAATTTCGTGGGTACAAATTTTTGTGAAAAAAATGTACTTTTCTATAAATACCCTGTCAGGGATCAAACCCACAACCATTACGTTCGAGGGGAGGAAGCATGGTTTGGCTTTTTATCAATTTTGCATGACTTAAAAAAGAAGTTATTAAACTTGATAATGAACATTAAATTCAAAGATGGCAAAAAAAGCTGCCTGTTCATTTATTACAATCTTTGATAAACCAATTTTGAATGAAACAATGAATTAATGAAATCCAACTACCAAAAAAAAAAAAACATTTGGTTTACCTATTTCATACAAAAAGATAGTATTTATAATGACTGAGTATGCTTCCTAGCAACAATTCTAAATATTTGAATAATACAATGGAAAACACTGTCATAGTTTTGACTTGGTACACAGCTTTTTAACATAGCTTGGCTAAACCAGTTTTTACAACCCAAAACATAAAACTTATATGAGAGTCGTTCTTGGTACATGTATCAATACTTCTTATGCAATTTGGCATGTTATGCCAATTTTGATTGGATAACGTCTGCTATCAATTCGACAGTTGACGGTCAGAGTCATTGGCAACAACATTATGCAATCGCAGTTGATGTTTAATTATATTCGAAATGTTTATTTTTGAACATTTTAAGAGTATTGCACTAGAATAGAAATAGCAGTACTGTGCTTAAATAGTTGCCACTGTCAATTTTGGATTTGACTGGCAACTCTTCCAATACAGTACTGTTATTCATTGAATGGATTTTTTTCACTTACCTGCTTTTGTAAATATTAATGGAAATAATGAATAATGAGCCACCGTAGACAGAATGAGGAATAGCTGTGCATCTCTCTTCTTGTCCAATACCAATAAACTACAAAATAAAAAGTGTGGAACTAATTGGATAGTAAAAAACCATTCCTTCATTAAGGTTTAAGCCTTTGCTTAAGGTGTTAAAGGTGTAAATATAATCTTTAAGATGAAGAACAGCTATAAAAAGCTGTTGAAGTGTTCCTTTGCTTTGGCTTATGTTATGTGCATCTAAAAGTTTTGAGTCGTGAATTAATACACAATATCCCTTCTTTTGATTCTTTTTTTACTTGATATTATGCAATTTAAATCATAAATTTTGAAAATATGTGATTTGCTACAAAAGAGGATACAAAATACTTCATTTGTCAATCAACTGTATGTACAACTCTTGAATTGACCAAGAATGCCAGTTTTCCTGCCAAAGGTCATGGTTTCCTCTGGTACTCGGATTTCTTCCAGCAATAAAATTTGTCCACAATGAGTGCCGAAGGGGCGTGTAACACAACCAATCAATTAATCAATCAATCTACTAGTTTATTTTTTATGATAGTGTGTACACGGTAGGTATAGTGTCCGGCTAGGATCGTGGTTTTTCAAGTGATTTGATCAGGTTTTTTCAAGTGTGACCACTTTTTTTTCGAGTGAATATGATCAAAAATGAAAACAAACAGACTTACTGTCTGAAAAGACGTGATATAGAAGCTTGAGTTTAATATACAAGGATATACAAGGTGTGTTAGTATTTGAGATAAAAAGATATTATCAATACGACATTATTTTTTTCGTTCAAAAAGTTGAATTTATCCTTACAATGCTTTTATTCCAAAAAACAGAATAAAGCCATTTTTATACACATACCAATGCAAACATCGATGGAAATGCATACATGGAATCCATATATCCTTAGATATACAGACACTTTACAAAAATTCTTGTTGTTGCATTGAAAAACGATATTTTGAGACTAAATTCATTTCTATGTGTTCGGGTTTTTTCGAGAGCAGTCCGGGCTTTTTCGAGTGCGTCCGTTTTATCGAGTGATTATACTAATTTCCTATAGCTTAGAATGTTGTGTGTCAGTGTATTTACGTTTAAAAACAATAATAAAATGCTCCGCAGGGCGCAGCTTGATACGACCACAGAGGTCGAACCCTGAACAGTTGGGGCAAGTATGGACACAACATTCAAGCTTGATACAGCTCTGAATTTGGATTGTGATTAAATATTTGACACAGCATAGGTTTCTGACACAGAATGAATGTGGTCTAAGAACTTAAAAATTTTAAATTGGACATTCACCTATTATGGTCCAATATCCAAAATCTAAATACATGGTTAGATTCAGCATATCAAAGAACCCCAAGAATTCAATTTTTGATGAAATCAAACAAAGTTTAATTTTGGACCCTTTTGACCTCAATGTGGACAAAGTTGACAACGGGGCCCAAAAATCAAAAATCTAAATACATGGTTAGATTCAGCATATCAAAGAACCCCATATATTCAATTTTTGTTGAAATCAAACAAAGTTTAATTTTGGACCCCGATTTGGACCAACTTGAAAACTGGGCCCATAATCAAAAATCTAAATACATGTTTAGATTCAGCATATCAAAGAACCCTAAAAATTCAATTTTTGTTAAAATCAAACTAAGTTTAATTTTGGACCCTTTGGACCTTAATGTAGACCAATTTGAAAACGGAACCAAAAATTAAGAATCTAAATACACGGTTAGATTCGGCATATCAAACAACCCCAATAATTCAATTTTTGATGAAATCAAACAAAGTTAAATTTTGGACCCTTTGGACCTCAATGTGGACCAATTAAAAAACGGGTCCCACAATCCAAAAACTTAATACACAGTTAGATTCAGCATATTAAAGAACCCCAAGAATTCAAGAATAAAACCCCATTGAAATTGATCAAGAAATAAGCAATTTATACGAAGTATCTTCTTTTGCACAATACTGTGCAATTGAATATTTCTTGCTATTGCGCAATACTGTACAATAGACAATTTCTTGCTATTGCGCAATATTGTGCAATTGAAGATTTCTTGCTATTGTGCAATACTGTGCTATTGAAAATTTCTTGCTATTGCACAATACTTATTATATAATAATTTACACATCCTGTTTGGTGTGTATCTCCTACCATATCATTATTATTTGCTTTTAAATATAAATCAGAAATAACCAACTTAAAATGGAAAATTTCAAAAGAAAAAAAAAAGGAAAAAAAGAAAAGAAAAAAAATCCCCCCCCCAAATTTTTTGAACCCCCTTATGATTCATCACCCCCAAACTCAATCCCAGCCTTCCCTTTGTGGTATGGTACCTTGCAGTACAATTTCAGAGAGATCCATACACTTGAACACAAGTTATTGTCTGGAAACTAGAAAAATGCTTATTTTTGGCCCCTTTTTGGCCCCCAATTCCTAAACGTTTCGGACAATTACCCCCAAACTCAATTCCAGCTTTCCCTTTGTGATATGGAACCTTGTAGTACAATTTCAGAAATATCCAAACACTTACACACAAGTTATTGTCATGAAACTAGAAAAATGCTTGTTTTTTGCCCTTTTTTTGGCTCCTTATTCCTAAAATTTTGAGGCAATTACCCCCAAAATCAATTACAGCCTTCCCTTTGTGATATGGAACCTTGTGGTACAATGTCAGAGAGATCCATACACTTACACACAAGTTATTGTCTGGAAGTTACAAAAATGCTTATTTGTGGCCCCTTTTTGGCCCCTAATTCCTTAACTGTTGGTACCATAACCCCCAAAATCAATCCCAGCCTTCCTTTCGTGGTATTGAACCTTATGGTAAAATTTCATGGAGATCCATTCACTTAAACTAAAGTTAGAGTGCGAAAACCAATGTGTCTTCGGACGACGCCGGACGACGACGACGATGATGCCAATGTCATACCAATATACGACCAAAAAATTTTTAATTTTTGCGGTCGTATAAAAAAGGGTTCAAATTATGTACTTTTTAAGGCACGAAACCAATGCATTCATCAGTTTAATAAAGGTGTACTAACACTTAGACTTTATAAACAAGTATCAGCCATCTGTATATATTGTTGTTTGTCACATCTAATAAATTACATGTACAGTATATATTCAAGATGTCAACAATCTAATGTAAGCACAGACAATTTGGATTGAGACGTACGTACAAAGAGTGAATTAAGCTGATGAATTATTCATTTCATTGTTAACTATATATGAAATTTAATTCAGATGTTATTGTCAATGGGAATAAAGACTGGTCAGATAAAGTGTCTTTTAGTAGAATATTTTTTATTACATATAAAAAAAGAAGATAATGAGACAACTCTCCACAAGAGACCAAATGACACAAAAATTAACAACTATAGCTCACCGTACGGCCTTCAACAATGAGCAAAGCCAATACTACATAGTCAGCTATAAAAGGCCTCGAAATGACAAATGTAAAACAATTCAAACGAGAAAGCTAACGGCCTAATTTATGTTAAAAAAATAAACGAAAAACAAATATGTACACATCAACAAACGACAACCACTGAATAACAGCTCCTGACTTGGGACAGGCACATACATACAGAATGTGGCAGGGTTAAACATGTTAGCGGGATCCCAACCCTCCCCCTAACCTTGGACAGTGGTGTAACAGTACAACATAAGAACGAACTTTAAAAATCAGTGGAAAAAGGCTTAACTCATCAGATGGATACAAATAGAAATACATCTAACAAAAACAAATGCATTTTTCTGATTCTTACTCCGTATCTTAATAAAACAGCTGCGCCATGGGCGCATGATACGCTTGATATCAAACTCGGAGCATCGTTTAATATTATATTGAAATTAAATAAATCGAGTTGATATCAAGCGATATCCATTATCACTCGTTATGAAACCTATAAATAATTTCTCAATGTCATATAAAAAATTTATAAAAAAAACTAAAAGGGAGGTAACCTTAATCTATATAAAGCAGTCACCAAAGTTTCATTAAAACTCCTCAAAGCACTTTAAAAATATTGTCCGAAAAATGTAAAATCACCCCTTTTTAGCTCACCTGGCCCTAAAGGGTCAAGTGAACTTTTCTCATCACTTGGCGTCTGTCGTTGTCCGTCGTCGTCCATTAACTTTTACATTGTGTCGTCCCGTGATGCTCAGATATATACGTCTAGAGTTTTAATTGCTGTTGAACAGATCACAATCTGAGCAGCTTAATAACTGTATTTTAATGTTAAGGATAGCGGATCATGTGCAACGCAAACATTTTTTACAGAAATCTTCTCCTCTAATACTTATGGAACAAGTTCATTATAGATAGAGATAACTGTAAACAGCAAGAATGTTCAGTAAAGTAAGATCTACAAACAAGTCACCATCACCAAAACAGAGAATTTTGTCATGAATTATATTCTTGTTTTTAATGTAGAAGAGTGTCCATTGTTTAATATACACTGCAGCACATAGACCAAGGTGAGCGACACAGGCTCTTTAGAGCCTCTAGTTTGTTTAATAAAATCCTATAACTCGAAAACGTAAAATCTAAAATTTATAAAATTCGAAAGGGAGGATACCTCAATAGATAAAAAAAATTCAAGGAAGTTTCATGTAAATTGGTTACAGTGTTTTTTAGTTTTGTCCGACATGCTGACGACGGACGGACAACGGTATACCATAATACGTACCGTATAAAAACTCAGGGGTTCACCACAAAAGATATTATCAACTGTGACAACAAAAATACCATAAAATGAAGTTGAAAAGATTATGAGTCTCCTGCACTATGTTCTTATAAGACCTTTTTATAAAGGATCCAATAATTTCTAATTTAATACTGGAAAGTTGTGGTAGAACGTTTTCTGAACAGAAAACTTGCATTAAATTGAAAAAGGTTAATTTTGATCAACGTAGTTATATGTTTTGGTGATTTTTTGAGAATATATGATATTTTCATTCATTAAATTACATTAATATACTAGAAAAGTCATTTTTTTAAAGTCAGAAATAACTTTTTTCTTATTAAAATTTTCGTTAAAAAACCCGGACGGTTTCACAGTTCCTCTCGAAAAAGCCTGGACAATAACAAACACTGAATTTAATGGTTAAATACAAGGAAATTTTGCTTCTTTGTTACTCAAAACATGTATAGTATTCAAAATAAGATGGGTAATCACGTAAAAAACTATTATAATTACGAATTAGTAGTTAATTGACCTGATCGCATGTTTTATCACTAAAAAAAGCCCAATCTACACTTGAAAAAATGGACAGATTCACTCGAAAAACCACGATCCTAGCCGGACACTATACCTACCGTGGTGTAGTACAAAATATATAAAAAATCACATGTATTTTATCTGCAAAATTTTAAGGAACATCAGGTTCTATTTTACTTAATATATTTTATAGAGGACTAGGAGAGCTGGTATTTATATTAGTTTGTTTTCACTGTTCTCTTTATTTGTTATAGTGCAAAGAAATACCATCTATTTGCAAATTACCTGAATGGAATGGTTATAATGAGAATGGCTTTTTCATGAACATGCCAGGCAAACATATACGATCCAAATCCACATAAAACAAGACATCTTAGGAAACTCTTTGGTCCTTTGGGATAAATCCAAAGGTGTAATACTGCTGGCTGAAAATAAGCAAAATAATGAATTAACAAAATACATTACTATCCTTATGTACATACATGTCAATATAAAAATAAACCAATTATTATACATTTCTGTGTGCACTTTTCTAGACAAATTTATGTGTGACAAAAATGAAAAATATACAATTTTCAATGCTTTCAATGTTTATTATGGTAATCTATTAGAAATTTAACCATATAGATAATACATTGTATTATAAATTGCTGAGTAAAATGTATACAAGGTTGAAATTTTTGTGGAACAAACAGAATTTCCAGCTTGTTTTTTTTTTCTTCTTCGAATTTTACACAAAATATAATGAATGGCAATTATTTTTTACAGTCATATGCAAAATTCTGTAGTTAAAAAACATGAGTGAAACATTTAAATCAACAAAGTTATGAATTAAATCATACAACCAAGTATGGATTTATGGAGATTAATTTTCATTGAAATGTAATCAGTATTTAACATGCAAGACCCCAGACTTACCAGTATAGATAAACCTGTTAATACAAGTGTGACTAAAGGTGATATAGATGGAAGCACTGTGTGTTGAAACTCCTGTACAAGTCCTCCTGTCATCATGGCTGATCCTGTGTCTGATATATTCAGTAAATTATATTTTTTGCCTACAAAAAAGTTATATATATATAAATTAGAAATTCCCCAAAAGTATGAAAATACAACCAATGTGTTATTGACCTTACCAAGAAAGAATGACAAAAATAAGACTTAGTTCTGTTCTCAGGGTCCACTAGTACGGTACAACAATGAACTTTTGCACTAATGCAAATAAATGTTATTCACATATCAACCAAAAAATTAGATTTATTACCTTACACTGTCAGAGATTTATTTCTTGCAAAAATTAAAGATGAGTTTCGTATATCGTACTACATGTAATGTAATTTCAATACGTTTTATTTATTTAAGTAAGCAAAATATTCAACAAATCAACAACATAAATTACTGCAACACATCTAGCAAAAATTCAATGGGAGTATTTTAAATGAGGGACAAGATGGTCAAATTGTTTAAGTTGTTTGTTAACATTTACCTTTACAAATCACTTTAGCCTTTCACTATGATGTGGTGTTTGGTGCACAAAAAATACATGATTTACTAGTATTTGATATGGTTGAGTCAGTGAATTACTTAATGTTGTAGGGTTGAGTCGGTGAATTACTTAATGTTGTAGGGTTGAGTCGGTGAATTCCTTAATGTTGTAGGGTTGAGTCGGTGAATTACTTAATGCTGTAGGGTTGAGTCGATGAATTACTTAATGTTGTAGGGTTGAGTCGGTGAATTACTTAATGTTGTAGGGTTAAGTCTGTTCTTGCTAAAAGCAATCAATTTAAAGTTGGTAACTTGCTAAAGGTCATAGGGGTGAGGAAATTACTTGCTATAGATTATTGGGTCATTCAATTACTTTTTAAAGGTTACAGATATTAGTTAGTTATGTACGCACTAAAGGTTAAAGTTTACTTAGTAATTGCTTACTATTAATTCATTAGTTGTGATATTGTCAAAACATTTTAAATATGATTTAGTAAAAGCATACTTGAATTACCAACAGACATATACAAAATTTCCTTCTGATTATCATTAAAACTTATAAGGTATCTTTTCTTTATAAAACCTTGAATGTGTAAGTCTACTAAGAGTTTGGTATATATTTTTGAAAGCATACATTAGTTATTGTGACAGATTTGAAAATTACATTAATTTTTTTAACAAGTTAAAGTTCGATAACTCTTGATCAACTTTACTATAAATCAACAAAAACACAAGGTTGCTAGTCTTCAAAGAACCTTATATTGTGTAAAGTTTTGGTGTAATTTCCCCCCAAGATATGCCAAGATGGATGGAAAAATTTAAAATAACTGTAAACCATAATACATGTTGCATGTTTACCCATCTGGTACATACAAATTAGTGTGCATATTGAATGGTGAAACTAGTTATAAATAGATATGGAGAAGAGGTTTTACTATGCTTAAAAACATTTCCTTTATTTTGAAATATAATATATATAAACTTACAAAATAAAGTAGCTGCTTTGTCAACAACATTATATAATGCATAGAAATTTGGTGCCCAGTATGCATGACACAAACCTCTTTTAAAGGGAAATAACCTTGAAAGAACTTGTGGGAGCTGGTCCTGAAGTAAAAAGAAACAAAATGCTTAATTACAAAGTCTTATGTATGTTGAATTAAATTATAATTATCAAATTATAAATACTTTAAACAAAAGATACATGTATCACAAACACACATAAATCCTCATAATAAACAATACAATGTGTTTTCTATATGTCCTATACAAATGTGTTCAATAGTGTATGAAGATCAAAAGAGTGCAATATACCAAATTAAAGAAAACAAAATGGAATGTATTGATCATAATAAATTGGTTAACAATTTAAGTGTCAAGTGCCAGGTTACTCTTTATCATCTAGTTAGCAGAAATATTGTATAACAATCGAAGGCTTTTTGCCATTGAACCACACTAAATTACATGAAAACTGCCTACATTTAACTTGAAATGATGGTATCTTTGTCCTGTGGATAATATAACATATCAACATATATAGTTAACAAGAAAAGCTGTGACAGTAAGGGGTTCAATGCAGAACAAAAACCAATTAAGAGGATCAATATTCCACTGCAGTAACTGCCTGAGCCCAGTATAATGCTGAGAGGGATTAATGAAACCGTTCATACATATATACATGTATACGAATGTTACATCATTAATTTGCAATATGTTTTGGAAAAGTCAACTAATGCCTTACAAAATAGAAATTTAATAGTGATAGCAAAGGCACTTTCAATTAATTGGCTAAAAGCTGGACTTTCTCATCCAAAAAAAGATAATTGGTAGCCTGATTTACAAAATGATAAAGCACTGTATCTTCTTCTCTGCAATTTCATTTGAAGCATAAATAGATATCAATTGATTTGTTAAAAAAAAATCAATGTACATTTACTTTCTTACATATTTAGACCAAAAAATCTTACCATCAGCATGAATGGCCCAAATGACAGACAAAATACAGATATTACCACAAAACCAAGCATGATAATTCGTATGAACGAAAATGTCCTCCAGGAAATTTTAGCTGCTACACCTGTAAAGATATAAAATTAAATGTAATTTTATTCCAAGATAAGATTCACAAACATTTAGTTATGTTCTTTTAGTATCATGGCCTCCAATAGACATAATAAAATCAGGTTATGGGAATGCAATGCAAATATAGTTCTAATCCCAATGTTTTGCAGATATTGTAGAATTTTCATTGCTCCTCCTTTTAATATCTCAATTACAACATCTTTGCTTCTGTTTTGTTATGTAGAGCATGGGCTTTGGAAAAAAATGTTGGATGTTTTAATAAAAAAATGTCAAAAGTCTACTGAACATACAATAACTTATTTCTACTAGCAATTATCAAATTATATTACAGCAGTTTTTGCTCTTATGTCAGAATAGCCCTATTTACCATCACTCTTGAAACAGTAACACCTGAGGAGGTATACAAAATATGCAGGTGCTACATACAGGTAGATGTGTTTAAAATTAAGTAGTGCAGCAAACCATAGTGCTCCTTCTATATTTCTCCCCTGAAATAGGAATTTATTTATTATTAGACTATGGGAGATAACTCTTAATGATAAATGTGGCAAGGTTATATAGAGTATTAGGTTTTAATGTTAATTTACTTTTTATATTTACAGCAATTGTAATTCGTAGTCCTCTATAAATTCAGATAGATAAATACCTATTGATTTATATGCTTTCTTTTGGTCCTTGAAAAGAACAGGAATCTTAAGTTGTCTTTGTATTCAGTATAACACATCTCAATTATGCTTTTTACTAAATTACAATTACAGATACACACACACAAATTCATTTAAATGTTTGAACAGAGGTTAACCAGTATAAGAAAGCTGACGCCATATCTCTGATTGTTTCTGTTTAATTCATTCATATAACAGAGACAATTTACAAGTTGACATAATGTATATACACTTGCATATCGGTGAAAATGTGTGTTGCCTTCTAGATGTCTTTTGATTATTTTTGTTGTTGGGTTGATGTCTCATTGATGCATACCTATAACTTTATTCATTCATTAAAGTCATATGAAACGAGTTTCTCGAAATTTTAACGTTATTGAAATTATTGAACCAATGCATGCATATATAATTAACTAAGTCTTGCATGCACGTTTTTTATATTTATTACACATCTATAACGTATTATCAACATAAAATGTTTCATTCAGTGGTTGTTGATCGCAAGGTAATTAATTTTCGAGTTTGATGCCGAAGTTGACCGGATCGTGCCATTGATAAACAATAAAAACAAAGCACTTGGAAAGCGTGACAGATAAATGAATTGAAAGAGCCATGACATTTGTTTTTATATTTTCATTGCATTCCCATTTGTTAATTAAACAAATTCCTTCACAGTTGTTAAATGATTTGCTGTATAAAATTTGTTCTTTACATCACGGTTTTCCCATCGCACTTGCACTGTGCGGTGGTCCAAGTTATAACAAGAGGTCTCGTAGTTAAGGTCACTGTATACGGAAAAATATCGGCAAAATATTGTCTGGGAAGTTTTACTGTGCGTATTACTGTGTGTTTGTTTATTCTTCATTGGCTAGAGGTATAGGGGGAGGGTTAAGATCTCACAAAACATTTTTAATCCAGCCGCATTTTTGGGCCTGTCCCAAGTCAGGAGCCTCTGGCCTTTGTTAGTCTTGTATTTTTTAAAAATTTTGGTTCATTTAAATTTTTTGGAGTTTAGTGTGACGTACATTTTCATTGAACTAGCACACATTTTGTTAAGGGGCCAGCTGAAGACTGCCTCCGGGTGCGGGATTTTCTCGCTGTGTTGAAGACCCATTGGTGCCTGTTTTCTGCTGTTTGGTCGGGTTGTTGTCTCTTTGACTCATTCCCCATTTCATTCTCAATTCTAATAATTCAATATTGGTATATTTATGTAGATTTTGATAATATAAAGTATTTTCTTTAAAAAAAAGTTTACGTTCACTTCTTTTAGAGTAAAACTTAGCCTTTCAAGTATATAAAACATGTTCCAACTTTTTTTTTAAATTTGAAGTTTCATATGACTTTAATGTGTGTAAGACACATTGTTTATATTACTTGTATCCTCATACAAACCTCATATAATCTTGTTATAGATAACAGCAGTAATCCAAACAGGAAACCATTATACTGAAAATGGATGTCTGAAAACTGTTATGGAAACTTGATATCAAATACATCAGAACTATTTTGTGATTTTCTTACATGATTACACATGCTTTCAGTTTGACTAATTAGTTTTCCTTATATCCATTTACACAGCCTCTCAATGAAAAGTGAAAAGTTATCACCTTTGGCTTGATAAAGATGGTTTATTTATCATTTAGGACCATATGGTATCTTTTAAAATGGATTATTTCACATTTCTTAAATTATCCAGAAAACTTCAAATGATTTTTATTGGTGAGTTTTAATTACATGAACATTCACCCCTAACAATCTTGAATCAAACTTGTTAGATGTGCATAAACCATAAAACATAAAATATAATGAGTTTTATGATTTATATTTTTTAGACTAAACATTTCCTTGAAGGTCATCAATGAGCTACAGCCAATTACTCAGTACAAACTCACTTTCCATGTGTTTTAATACACTTGGTAAACTGATTTATTGTTTTTTACTTAAAACACATTAGCAAATATTTCATAATAATCAGAACAAGAATTTAACAAGTCTTGAACAATAGGCTATATTATATCATATATCACGCTTTAAATCAAACATCATTAGATGACCATTTGATAAGGATACGATCAACTATCATCAACCCAGCATTACAAATCAGTAAAGATGTAAGTATTAAATATGGTGAACTAAAAATGTCGCAGTTGTTGTCATCTTTTCTTTGCAGCTTTATACATTTTGTACAAAATCTGAAAATATGATCAATTAAAAAATATTACAACTTAAAAAAATCAAAGCACGAAAGCGCTGTAAAGGCAGTTAATTACAGGTTGTGTGTATTTTAAGTCGTTATATCATTATCTTGCATAGTACAGTGTACTTATCAGAGGTGGCTTTCAGTATTTAAGATTTAGAGTTCTCCCTTATGATATTGAATAAGTTTTATGAATGTCATATTCTGAGCACCATATGAAGGCGATTGTTCTCACTTGTTTATGAACTAGTGCATTATGTCCAGTTTGTACCTTTTTTATCTATGTTTATAGTCAAATTAGTTTTCAAAGGTACCAGGATTATAATTTAATACGCCAGACGTGTGTTTCGTCTACATAAGACTCATCAGTGACGTTCAGATCAAAATAGTAACAAAGCCAAACAAGTACAAAGTTGAAGAGCATTGAGGAATGAGGACCCAAAATTCCAAAAAGTTGTGCCGAATACGGCTAAGGTAATCTATTCCTTGGATAAGAAAATCCTTAGTTTTTTCATTGGCAATCATAACACATCTCCTTATTTATATAATGATCTATATTCAACGACCTCAGGTACAAAAAAAATGTATGTAACTAAACTATGATGGGAAACCTTTGACTTCTTTCTTTATATAAACTTTTGATTTGGTACCATAGAACTATGTAGAGTAAATGTACATTGCAACATGTCAACTGTTTCAACTCCAAGCAAAATTATATTTCCAAGCATAAAGTAATTTATGAATGAAATAAAATGCTCCGCTGGGGTGCAGCTTGATACGACCGCAGAGGTCGAACCCTGAACAGTTGGGCAAGTATGAACACAACATTCAAGCTTGATTCAGCACTGAATTTGGATTGTAATTAAATATTTGACACAGCATAGGTTTCTGACACAGAATGAAAGTGGTCTAAGATACTTAAAAAAATTTAATTTACCTATTCAAACCATATTATTATTATTTGCTTTTATATATAAATCAGAAATAACCAATTTAAAATGGAAAATTTTAAAGAAAAAAAAGGAAAAAGAATCCCCCCCCCCAAATTTTTTGAACCCCCTTATGATTCATCACCCCAAAACTCAATCCCAGCCTTCCCTTTGTGGTATGGTACCTTGCAGTTCAATTTCAGAAAGATCCATACACTTGAACACATGTTATTGTCTGGAAACTAGAAAAATGCTTGTTTTTTGGCCCCTTTTTGGTCCCAAATTCCTAAACGTTTAGGGCAATTACCCCCAAACTCAAACCCAGCTTTCCCTTTGTGATATGGAACCTTGTAGTACAATTTCATAAAGATCCATACACTTACACACAAGTTATTGCCATGAAACTAGAAAAATGCTTGTTTTTTGCCCCTTTTTGGCCCCTAATTCCTAAAATTTGGAGGCAATTACCCCCAAAATCAATCCCAGCATTCCCTTTGTGATATGGAACCATGTGATACAATGTCAGAGAGATCCATAGACTTACACACAAGTTATTGTCATGAAACTAGAAAAATGCTTGTTTTTTTCCCCTTTTTGGCCCCTAATTCCTAAAATTTGGAGGCAATTACCCCCAAAATCAATCCCAGCATTCCCTTTGTGGTATGGTACCTTGCAGTACAATTTCAGAGAGATCCATACACTTGAGCACAAGTTATTGTCTGGAAACTAGAAAAATGCTTATTTTTGGCCCCTTATTCCTAAACTTTTTGGGCAATTACCCCCAAACTCAATTCCAGCTTTCCCTTTGTGATATGGAACCTTGTAGTACAATTTCATAAAGATCCATACACTTACACACAAGTTATTGCCATGAAACTAGAAAAATGCTTGTTTTTTGCCCCTTTTTTGCCCCTAATTCCTAAACTGTTAGGACTATAACCCCCAAAATCAATCCCAATCTTCCTTTTGTTGTTACAAACCTTGAGTTTAAATTTCATAGATTTCTATTTACATTTACTAAAGTTATTGTCCGGAAACCAAATGTCTTCGGACGACGCTGACGACTACGAAGACGACGACAACGTGATACCAATATACGACTGCAAAATTTTTTGCAGTCGTATAAAAACCAGAAATAATAAATGTTACCCCCAAATTCAATCCCAGCATTCCCTTTGTGATACAATGTCAGAGAGATCCATAGACTTGCACACAAGTTATTGTCATGAAACTAGAAAAATGCTTGTTTTTTGCCCCTTTTTGGCCCCTAATTCCTAAAATTTGGAGGCAATTAACCCCAAAAATCAATCCCAGCATTCCCTTTGTGATATGGAACCTTGTGGTACAATGTCAGAGAGATCCATACACTTACACACAAGTTATGTCTGGAAGTTACAAAAATGCTTATTTTTGGCCCCTTTTTGGCCCCTAATTCCTTAACTGTTGGTACCATAACCCCCAAAATCAATCCCCACTTTCCCTTTGTGGTATTGAACCTTATTTTAAAATTTCATTGAGATCCATTCACTTAAACTAAAGTCAGAGTGCGAAAACTAATGTGTCTTCGAGAGACGACGCCAACGCCATACCAATATACGACCACAAAAATTTTTTTGCGGTCGTATAAAAAGGAGTTCTGATTAAGAAATAAACTGATTCGCTGAGCGCAGCTGGATACACCCGCAGAGGTACTACCCTGAACAGCTGGGGCAAAAATGGACTCAATATTCAAGCTTGATACAGGTCTGAATTTGGATTGTAATTAAATATTTGACATATTAATGTTTCTGAATAAATGTAGTCAATGAACTTGAAATCAGTTATATGAATTGAATTTATATTCAATTAAAGATTTCTTGCTGTTGTGCAATACACTGTGCTGTTGTGCAATACTTAATAAATCTGTTGTCAGACTATAAACAAATAAAGTTCAATTTCTTCTCAATGTCATATTTGAAATTTATGAAAATCAATAGGGAGATTACATCAATAGCTATAAATAATTCACCAAAGTTTCATGTGAACTGCTTAAAGCATTTTTGAGTTGTTGTCCAAAAACTGGAAAATCCCCCCTTTTTTAATGAATAAAACCCCTTAACTCAGAAATGTAAAATCTAAAATTTATAAAATTCTAAAGGGAGCTTACGGATTGATAATTTAGTCTTAGATGCAAGATTTTTTTATCAGTTATTAGTAGCTTTGAACTAGCTGTCAGTAACTGCGAGTACTCTCAGATTTGTACTTAGTGTCTTTTTGTTGTTTGGATGTACAACTACCTGACCACGTCCACTTGTATTTGTATTTATCCATCTGATGAGTTTAGCCTCTTTCAACTGATTTTTATAGTTCTTTCTTATATTGTACTGTTACACCACTGTCCCAGGTTAGGGGGAGGGTTGGGATCCCGCTAACATGTTTACCGGTAAGCCCGCCACATTCTGTATGTACATGTACATGTATGTGCCTGTCCCAAGTCAGCAGCCTACAAAAGTGTAATTCAGTGGTTGTCGTTTGTTTATGTGTTGCATATTTGTTATATTTGTTCATTTTTTTACATAAAATAGGCCATTAGTTTTCTTGTTTGAATTGTTTTACATTGTCATTTCTGGGCCTTTTATAGCTGACTGTGCGGTATGGGCTTTGCTCATTGTTGAAGGCTGTACTGTGACCTATAGCTGTTAATTTCTGTGTCATTTGGTCTCTTGTGCATGTGTGGAGAGTTGTCTCATTGGCAATCATACCACATCTTCTTTTTTATATTTACATCAACAGATATAAAAAATTCACCAAAGTCAAGTTGAGACAACAAAACTTAGTTGTAAGATCTCTGAATTTTTTTACACGGTACGAGTTTTTCTCATTGTTGGAGATAGTACGGTGACAGTAACACCTGTAACTGCTTAAACCCATTTCTTATGCACTTTAGTTTGATAAACTCACTGAATATCATACCACATCTCCTTATTTTTATATGCATTACAATTTACATGTGCATGTAATTGTAAATATATATATATCAGAACAAAATTCATTGCGTCACTTTTATTTATGCATCCTTTGGCACAATACAAGTTCTAAAATTACACAACATAAAACAACTAAATGTTATTTCAGATGAAAGTTTTGTTTCAGTTCCATTCATAGGATTTATTAGAATTTTGTATGTTTTGCCAAGTCCAATAATTTGCTCTATGTGACATAGAGACATAGTTGACTAAATCACCAGGTGTCGAACATTCAAGAATTTTCAGTGTTTCTGTTTTTATTTGATGAAAAGGTTGCCTGAGCTCTAGGTTTTATCACGGGATAATCTGTGCTGTCAATAATAATCCAAGTCGTAGGAAACTTTAATTTGAAGTTGGATGGTGAAAAATACCTGACTAAACCACTAGATGGCCAAGTGTTAGCCTCACACCACTGTTTAGACATAAAAACAATCCATGTATACACAATATTCTTAACACTAGATTCAATCTAGAATCTAGACAGTTCAAAGTTGGTTGTATGATGCCTCAATTTCATCAAAGTCATAAAAAAACTGATTTTCAACTGACACCCTATCAATTTGAAATATATGTATCTCAAACAATGTGCTGCTGGACCAAGTGTGGTCAAAACAAATAAAAATTTAGTATACAACTCTAAACCGGTATAAAAATGCATGGCTGTGTCACGTGTCTTCATTTCAAAATTCTCTGCTGAAAACATAGGCATTGATGGTGTTTGCGTAATTCCATCTGTGAAGCTCAACATTAGCTCTGCAGTTGGTGGTGGACAGTCATAAATCCTTTCTGCAGTATGAATGACTTCTTCAGGAAAACCAACTTTACAATCAAAACTTTCCTCTAGATTTCTACTACAATATTCATCAAGTTTAGTTCTTTTGTTTTCACAGGAAACTGCCCTGATTTTTCTTTTTGCGGACGATTCAGTCTCTTGCTTGGTCCAGGAAAATAGGCTGGGAATTGCTGTAGACTTAAGTCTCTGTATGGTGGGTTTGCGCCCTGAAAAAGGTTATAAAACATTAGTTTTTTTATAATTAAATGAACTTCCATTAGCAATGTATACTTTGTACTACCTGGCGAAATATTAACTAGATTTATTCATTACAATCTGGATAAAACTATGTTTGCCTGATTCAATGTATGTTATGTAAATCCAAAGGACAAACAATGAGAGACGTATGCAACAAACGTACATTGTTTGTACCTAAATAACTATAATATATATGAGAGCATGTCATTGATTTGTTCCTGTTAACATTGTCATTGATATTTTTCAAGAAAGTCTATGAGGCATAGCTTATGCATTCCTGTCATTACTACATTAGCATAATTACTGCTAAAATAATTCTCAGTATGATATACCTCTTGTAAGAAATAATTGTAGCAATCACCAAAAAATCTCAAACAGATCACATTGAATCGTAATCCAAAAAATTATGACGTCTTGAATTACCCACCCACTTTTATTCTAAAACGATAATTGCGGTTGTAAACAGACTTTGGTTTATTCGCATGGCGATTACATATATAACTATATATTTCACAAAGAAAATAGAGTTTTACCATGAATAGTTTCCTGCACGTAGTCTTTTTCAGTAAAACGTGCCTTGCAAACAACAGCTGATTGAGATGGACTCCACGATATCATCGTGTTCTCGTCCAATCTGCGTATGGGCCATGGCGTTGATCCAACTTTTCCTTCTTTTTAAGTCATTTGGAAATGCATGTCCTCCTCTTAAATGACATCCAGGTACACAACAACAAGTATTTGGCATCGTTAATTAAAAATATAACTGAAATAGTTGCACAGTGCAGAAACCGGAAGAAGAGGAACAGGATCTGCTACCACGGCGCCACCTATTCAGGAACGATAATTTGCTACTTTATAACTGCGAAAATAACGTTAGACGGGTTCACGTGCATAAACAGAAATGCGCTTTAAATTGTATAATATAATTCATGTTCAGTCGACCTTTAATTATTATATCAACGACTGAAATGATTTATAAACATCTAGATTGCAGATAACACTCGAAATTAACCCGAGCTCTTTCCACACGGAATTCAAACAATTCTAGTTTGTCAATCGGTTGACTGCTTATAATGCAAAATACTAATATATCAAAAGTTTTTAAAACTAACAAAACACAATGATCGTTTCTCTATTTCCCAATGTAAATGAAATAAAACAAAATACATTTTATATCGCAATAAGAAGAGGAGAGAATTCAACATTTCCGGATCTACTTGGAGTCTAATGACCCCCCACGTAGATAATTTGGATATCGCGGAAGGAAGGATTAACCCGGCAACTAGAAAGGCATTAAAGCACTGCCTTTAAAAAACTACATAATTTAATTTTTGATTAATATACCAGTACAGTCAAACCTGCATTCAACAGTCATCATTGGTACAAGGAAAAAGTGACTGCATAAGATAAGTTACCATTAAATCAGGGTCGCAACTTGGCAGTGAATCAGAATTTTGTGTTCCTGTCCTTAAGGTAGATGGGGTGTCTAAATTATAATCCATAGAATTTTTTAATAATTTGCCAAAATGTAGTTTATATCATGCTTTTTAAAAAAAAATAATAAAAAGAATGGGTCACGGGGCTTATTTTCACGCTACAGGTTGTGCAAAATTGACAGATTTTGTATAGATTATGCATGGAAAATCCAATTTTCTGCCATAAAACGAAAACTACACCATAGAACTTTGAGATAAAATATGAGAAGATAGCTCTAATATTATGCTTTCAGATAAGAAAAAGAAAAAATAGGGTCACTGGACCCGTTTTCTTGCTACATAATAAAATAGGTAAATTCCTAACACATTCTATTGTAAAAGTAACTTTATCTGAATTATCTGCCCTTACATTTGAGTTGCCTCCCCTTATGTGGCAAAGTTGGAAAAAATTGAATCAAACAAAAGTATTCTGTTTTTTGTAAAATACAACCATAAATATGATAAAACATGTCATTTTCTATATTGAAATGAAAATTCTTACACATGAATTACCTACTACTCTCAAAAAGTTGCACATTTTCTTAAAGATCTAGACCGATTGTTTTCTGGTATTTCAAAATCCAAGATGGAGGAAGACACCCTATCTACCTTAATTGTTGTTTACTTAATCAAGAGTACCATTATAGCAATATGGACTATACATGTACATGTATTGTTATAAATTATTGAATGTATTGTTATAAATTATTGAATGTATTGATATAAATGACATTTAATGTGTAAAACAAGATTTAAGTGACATTTAAAATATTTCAAATTCATAACCAAACTTACATTATTTTTTTTTTAATTTCTATTGTTTCACACACATGTTCCACATATTTCAACCCCTATTTTTTTAATTTTTTTTTATAAATGACAATTAAATTTTTTTCCAAAATTTTATGATATGCTCAAACAAGAAGCATAATGTACCAACTCTTTCACTGCATAAATGAATATAAAATCTGTAAGTACAACAGATAGTCTTTGAAACAGCACTGTGGCATCTGATCTGTAGTCAACGTTTTCCACTTTCAACATTTCTGGGTCAAAAAATTGTGCAATCTGTGACAGCAGATATTCTAACCAGGCAAAGAAAGGGGGATAATCCAATGTCCATTCTGATGTATCCTTTAATAAGAGAAAATGTAAATTAATTATTTCCTATACATGTATAAGCAAACACTTCTTAACATACATGTATATTCTCTTGGAAATTGTTCATGCTATTTTACCAAATTCATCTTCTCCTTGGTACTACTGAATCTGTCAAAATAATTTTTCTTACACAAGTTTTAGTTGTTAAAAACTAGCAAGTTTTGTCAATTATGATCAGAGTACAATGCACCTAGCAAGGAGTAGTGGTCAAATTCACAACTTCAGTGTTGACAGACTGATGATCAATGTAGATGAACTGCTTAGACCACTCTGCCACCCAGTCAACACTATTCAATTTGTTCAATGTATATATGATAAATTATTTATGTCTTTTTCCATCAATTCTATACTATTAAATTTGGAGACCCAAAATTTTTAGCCGGTTTGTCTCCGAGCCGACGATCGTCTGAAGTATTACATAATAATAAATAGTTAGTGTATGTAATGTACTTTATAACTTCATACTGTAATTGCTTTAATAAGCGTAGCTTAATTAATTAAACCCCAAACAAAGTTCCATAGCTGGTTCCTTACCATCTACGTATTGTAAGGAGACTAAAATGGCTTTGTATTCAATTTGTCTTCAATTTATGACAACTCGGCCACAGCCAACTTGCACCACTCAAACACTCTAATTATTAAAACTTGCATCACTTTATCAAACTCACACCACTCAAAAAAAGAAAAAGAAATATAACAAAATGAAAGAAATGTATTTAATCATTAGATTGTTTTCTTCTTTTCTTAGTAAATTCCTCCTTTCTCAGAGCACCTGTGTCACACCGAGACAGAACTCGCACCACTCGAAAAAAAAAATACTACAAACTCGCACCACTGAAGAAATGTTTTAAATCATCAGAGAGTTCTAGATTATCTTCTCTTAGTTATTTCCTCCGTTCTTGGAGCACCCGTATCACACAGAGACAGAACTTGACATGCACCTTTCGGAAAAAAAAGAAATACTACAAACTAGCACCACTGAGAAATGTTTTCATCATCAGTGTTCAAGGTTGTCTTCTTCTTATCTGAGTTATTTCCTCCGTTCTAGGAGCACCTGTGTAACACCAAGACAGAAGCTACTAATTGGACATTCAAACTCCTATGGATGAAGAACTGACAAACTAATCAAAATTATCAACATAATGCATCAGTGCATAAAAACAGTTTGAGAAACACGAACCAAGCTGTGTATCACCATAAACATTTCAAGTAGTCTTTTTACAAGCTTATTCACAAGGTAACAATCTACATGGAAATTTTACCTTAACTTGACATATTATTCTGACTCTAGGCCAACCAGTTGTTGCTTTTACTCCTATAGGTGTGTATATGATGCCAACCAAGAAACAAAGCATATCAATAAAAATTTTCCAAGTGTTTAGTTTGACCTTGCTGTTAAGTTTGACCTTGCTATTTCAGAGTACTTACTTATCATGCTTATGGCCACCCACACTTCAGATAAACAAGCTAGTATCAGATCACCAGGCTTGTCACTTGGTTAAATTAAAGTGTTAGTTTTTCTTAAAGGTATACAAAAAAATACTTTTTTTTTTCAAAACTCACCTCATAATACCATTTGCTAATTGGAAGACTATGTGTGATTGCCAACCAATTTCTGTGAACATCAAAATCAGTGGATTTGCTGAAATAAAAAGGGGTTAGGATATATGTTTTCATCATTATCATAGTTCTATACATGTATATAACATCTCAACTTTATTTCGCATTTAAGAGTTGTTGAAATTCATTTTGAATTTGTCAGTCCTTGTGGATTATGCATCATTTTTTGTAGTCATGTATAGTCCTTGTCAAGAGTTTTCCATTCAGGACTTACAGTAATCGCTTTTGGGATTCTGAGTCTGAAGTGATTTGCTGATTTGGCCGCCTCAGAATTGCTTATCAAGCCCTATCATGTCTATTCGGGAAAATTTTTGCTAACTACGTCACACAAAACAAGCACCTTTTACACCTATAGCAACAATCCGTAATCCTGAAGAAAGTAGTAATTGATTAGAAGACATATAAGCCTTTCAGAATTCCTTAAAATTGTAAAATACCTTTCCTTTAAACATGTTAAGGTTCATCATAACAAATGGACAAAAATGGCTGTATTTCCACATCAAAAACTACTCTGAGTACAGACTTACCTGTCCAGTTGGAAAAGTTTTAATGCCTGGCATCCACTAGATATATAAAAGTTAAATGCATTTTGTGTTTCAGAAAGTTAAAATCTTTTTTGGATTATGATGGCCATTTTTTTTCCTTTCTGCAGAAGGTGTGAAATAAACTAAGTTGGGATAAAACTTTGAGATGCTCCCTCTCAGGTAAAAACTGTATTGTATTGTATTGATTGTCCTTGATTGACACAGACAATAGGTATCTACACAACTATAGGTGAGTTAAAGGGTTTAACTGAGTGGACAGTATCAAAGTAATTCAGGTGTTTGTTTATTTTTACACCTGCTGCAGAAAGGAAAAAAAATGCCCATCAAAATCCAAAAGTGATTATATCTTTCTGAAACAAAAAATGCATTTAACTTTTATATATCTAGTGGATGCCAGGCCTTAAAACTTTCCAAACTGGACAGGTAGGTCTGTACACAGAGTAGTTTTGAGGTGTAAATACAGCCATTTTTGTCCATTTGTTATGATGAACCTTAAAGGTAGTTATAGATCCATTTTGTCCCAAATTAATCAAAAGTATGCCATTTTGTTAACAATTCAAGTTTTTCTCGTGTGATCTGTGTTGTAAAGCACAGAACTTTTCCGTCAGTTTTTCAACAAACTGGTTTTCAGGTACCATTGAAAAGCACTATCCCGAAAATAGGATTTGTCCTTTTTTCTTTAGTTTTTCGTATTCAAATTAGACAAAACAATGTGGCCGTCTACCATGTCTACAGACCAAGAACATTATAAATTTTACAAAATGGATCTATGACTATTGTTTAAAGTAAGGAATTCAAAAATTTTAAAAGATTCTGAAAGTCAAATATATGTCTTCTAATCAATTATTACTTGCTTCAGGTTTACGGAATGTTGCTGTAGGTGTAAAAGGTGCCGAGTCGATGTGATGTTGACATTGTTGTTGGCAAAAATTTTCCCAAATAGACTTGATAGGGCTTGATAAGGGATCCTGAGGGAGCCAAATCAGAATCCCTAAAGGGATCAGACTTACACTTACAGAACTGATGAAATTATTTCAACATCTCTGTGTTTCATACTAGTTTAAACATGTTCAATTTTCTCTCTTTTTTAAAGTTTGAGCCACTTGACAAATGGACAAAAAGGCTATGACCTATGTTTACCCCTAGATAATTAATTTGAGCACAAATGGTTTTTTTTTTTTCATTTTAGTTTTTTGTGATAGGGGGAGGTAATTCCATTATTGAATAGGTTTTTGTTTTTTTCTTTAGACTTCATTCAATATATTTTGTCCTTGCACAAATTTTATTAACAGTTTTAAAAAGCCTGTCTTATTTATGGCAAAAAATATTTCAAATACACACTAGGACGGAAATAAAAGCAATTTTGAGCATGTTACAATGCCAACAACCATCCACCACGTCTCCATGTTTAATCTTTGTCATTTGAGCGTTTCAGACATATAATATCTTTGAATATTACAAGCGCTCTTATAAAACCTAGACTATATTGGAACATAGTAATTCACGAATCTAGTTCTGAAAAGCATAGTTATTATTTCCGGTAATAGATACACGTACGAATACGAAAGTTTTATTTTGATTCGGTTCACATATAGTATAACTGTACAAACATAAGCCCTTGAGAGCTATTTACCGAATAGAATAGAAAATAATAGAATAGAATATTTTTATTTCCCGAATTACAGGGCCCATAAACTTAAAAGGGCATAAAATCAGATACAATTGATATACATAATTGGTAACAACAACAATAATAGTCACTTGTATAAAAGAATAAAATTACAATATATGCATTCATTCTCAAATCATTTACTTGACTTAGTGTCAATATTCATACCTGATCTCCAGTCCTTAATTCAAAACAGTCACAAATATAACAGCCCAGTTATTCCATAAGAGTTACATTTGCTTGGGTCATGAGCCATAAAAATTTAGAAGATTTATTTAAATTTTTAAAATTATAACAATTGTTAGAAATGTATTGAAAAAAATCTTCCCTTTGAATATCATAAAGAGGGCATTCTAACAAAAACTGAAGCTCATCTTCAACTTTACCAAGTGAGCAATTTCGGAACAAAGACGCTCAGATCTTTCTATATATTTTTTTGAATATCTGTCTGTTTCAATTTTTAAAGAGTGAGCGCTTATTCTTAATTTACAAATTGGCCGTCTTTTTTTAAAATCCTGTAGTTCTAAATATTTTTCTTTTTTAAAACAATTTTTTATAGAAAAATAAGTACCAAGCTTCCCTTTTTTCAGAGTTAATTGTTTGATACTTCAGTCTATTCCAAAATGTTAAATAACTTTCACATAGTTTATTTTCAACATACTGACATAAAGAACCAATTGATTGGTCAAAATTTGGTAATTCAATCTCTCTCTGAATATAATCTATACAAGAGTACCATGTATTTACATTAGAAATATGTAATTGTTTACAACATATGAATGCATCAAATAATAATCCTTCTTTCAATCCTTCCAGTCTATGACAATATTTTAACATTGATAAAATTATAGTAAAATAAATAGGAAATCTACCAAGCTCTGACATCACAGCTATGTTACTGGACTTTCTGTTTACACCAAGAATATATTTCATAAATTTGTTATGAGCTTTTTCAGAAGAATCCTGACCAAAAACTTTTTCTAATATATAATCATTATCCGAATATAACATTAAAACACAGAACATGCAGATAAGATATACGCTCGTATTATGGGTTTTTGTGCTAATATTAAGAATGCATTGTGACGTTACAATTTCTATTGAAAAAGAATGCATAGTACTAACTCATATGACGTTCGAAAACATATGATTTTACCATATAAGCAGCAATTATTTCAATGCATAGAAACAGCACAGACATATTGAAATACATGCCGAAAGCGCTACTAAACTACACATCTAAACATGCCCTAACTGAAGCATGCATAACTAAAATTAAAGCACAACTCAAATTAAGCAAAACATAATTTTAAGCATAAATAAAAAATAAAATATAAAAGCACACATGCAAAATTTAAGGCATAATTCAAACATTTAGAGCAATAACTAAAAAATAATATATGAAAAGCTTTTCCGTACATACAGAACAACGGCATCCTGATCCATTCCAGGACTATATAAGGCTTTTAATTTTCAGTCTTGAAATGGTCAGGTAGGCTGTTCCACAGAGTATAGCAGCAAATTTAAAACTTGTCTTACCAAACCATTTGCAAACTGTGTTGATTTTACATGTGGAATATCAAGTATATTACCAAGGATTTGTATAGAAAGATCCTTGATATTACTACATTTGAAAGAATATTTACAATCTTTTACATTTAATAGATCATGTTAACAGATAGATGTTTATTTATTAACTATATCAAAAGTTTCAATTGCCATTGACCTTTGTCTTTTAATATGCAGTGAAGGCATCTTGGCGCCTTTTCAAGCATGCAACTGTTGATATGAGCTTAAATGATCTTCATACACAATCCTTAGTGCTCTTTCTTGCCGGCACTTTTTCTATTTTTATTTTTTTCTGTACAAAAATGCCATGCCAAAGGGCAGAAATTGAAATTGCTCAAAATAAATGTATGGAATATAGTTAGCTTACTTAGCTTGTTCAAATAAGTTTCCAAGCGTTTCAAAATATTAAGTTGCTGAGATGCCTTCCTGCATATTTTACTGATACGAGTATCAAAATTAAGCTGATAATCAATGTCAATGCCAAGAAGTTTGACAGTTGACTCACACGAAAGATCTGCACTTTGAATTCGTATACAGGGATGTTTGTTATATGTCTTTTTCCCACTGCAAAAACCTGAAGTTTGTCAGGGTTTGCCTGCATTTTATTAATTTTGAACTATTCAATAAATTTAACTGATTCAGACATATGTATTAATGACGTATTAATAAGTTCTGATAATCTCAGGGACTCGGTTTGCGGATACATATTTTTTTATATGTTTAATCATTGTAATTTTTTGTTTATTCCCTGTCTTTTTGTATTAGACTATCATCGTTGGTGACAAGTGATGTGTACGTTTACTAGCTATGTGTGTGACAAGCCGTTGTGGAATTTATTCCCTATTCATAAAAAAATATTTTCTAATAATTGTGACCAGCCATGTGATTTTCAGGTTTATGGAGGTACCAGGGTCAAAATGAGTTTTTTGCATTCCTATGAAGTAAACATAGATTCAAAACACTCTGACAGGTTATTTTGCCAGATTCTTTTTAAATTTTCACCTGTTTGTTCATCTATAATTATACTTTTCTTTGAAACTTGTCTCGTATTGTTTGTGTGGTTTTTTTTTGTTGTTGTTTTTTTTTTTTTTTGGGGGGGGGGGGGGGGGTATTCTAGTCTTTTTTAATTAATGAAAAAGTAATTGTTGCTTAAGTAACTTAATACACGTAATTGACTTGCCATTCTGAAACCATTTATTTTAGTGAATTATAGTGAAAAATATTTTGTTTACTTTTGTTTCAAAATTAAAAATAATATGACCTAAGTGATTCCCCTTGAAAACCTACCGCTCAAAACTGCTTCGGGGAAATTACACCAATGAAATCTAAAAGATAAATTGTGTGAATTTTGAACGCGATTCCTCACAGGATTCAACCTAAATTATTAATTTTACGTTAACAATCTTCTTGTTTTGTAAATCTCAATATAAAATTCTAATTACCTCAAGTCAAGAAAAAAAATGAAACTTTATTTTACCGCATATAATTGGACATTTAATAACAGGTTCCCCGATTACGTTAGGGAGCTACCATTTGATTTTTATGGTGGGCTAGGATGAAAATTTTTGTCCTGCATTTTTTTTAGTTGTAATCTCTGTCCTGCCTTTTTATTTTTCACTCTATTCGGTCCTGCCCTTTTTTTAATTAGTTTATCCTGACTTTTTTTTCCATAAATTGTCATCCTGCCCTTTTTTATTTTGCAAAGTTGCTCCCCCTATACCTTTAGCCAATGTAGAATAAAGAAACACATAGCAATACGCACAGTAAAACTCAGTTTAAAAGAAGTCCGAGTCCGATGTCAGAATAGGTAACAAAAGAAACCAAGCAAAATGACAATGATACATAAATCAACAAAGGACTACTAGCAGTTACTGACATGCCAGCTCCAGACCTCAATTAAACTGGTTGAAAGATTATGTCTTCATCATACGAAAATCAGGTACAATCCCTCCCGTTACGGGTTTAGTAACGTACCATCATAAAATATATGAGAACATAACCCGTATCATGCCAACAACTGGTTTTAAACTAATTGTGTTTATTTCCGATGCAAAGACCCTATGAGTGAATCAATAATAATACCAAAATATGCAATCCTTAATGACCTGACAACAGTATCGTAACTATATCCCTTCCGAATAAGTCTGTTTAAAGGTTTGGTTAGCTTTTGAGGTGAATACCGACATTTTTACATCGCGATGACCGTGAGGTCATTTCGATGTATTGCTATCGCCTAAATTTCCATTATGCAAATTAGTTTTGGGTTTTCAACCGATCTATAAAAATTATAGATCCGCGGTCATTATCTAGTGCAAAATAACATTACTTATCGCTTGTTTCAAATTCATTTTTTCAATGGATCCTCCTATAAATATTTTTATTAAAACACAAATTAATAATATGAAAATGTGTTGTCGTTAGTTATATATATAAAAGTAAAAAATCATTGATGATATATATGCACACGTACCGAAAAGTTGTGTTAAAGCTTACGGAAGAATATCTCAAGAACGTTTTGCGACACTCCCGGCAAGGACCGATAACTCTGTTATCGTTTTGCGGGAAAATATGAATTATGGCTTCTCATTTCCAATCTTTTAGAAAAATCGATTTTTTTACAGAAGAGTGTCCACCGTGCACTTGCACTGCACTATAATTAGAATAGTAGAATAGAATGATATACAAATAGATGAAAATTATATATACATGCAACCGTAATATTAATATAATATATAACAACAAACCAGTGTATACTCTGGGACTATTATTATATTAGTATAAAAGTCCCAGGTATACTGATTTGTATCTCTACAATAAAATAGTTATTACGGTGCGGTTGAATTTCCTGTCATTTATTCAACATCCATGCACGAACTTGTATCAGAAAAAAATATATCTCTGTAAATTAACCTCAGTTTCAGGTATAGAGATGTGATCTATTTCTGTGACATGTGCTTTTGACCATCCACGAGAACCTGCGGTCATCCGATGTTCAGTACTTCAGTACTTTGATTATGCTTTGTAAAGAATATTATATTAGGTGACTAGTTATCAAGGGAGAAATCCGTTGCGCCAAAGGGCGTATTTTTGCGTCATAACTCATTTGCGCCACTAGTATTCAAAATGCCAAGTATCATACATTTACGCCTAAAATAAAGTATACGGTTG